GACTGTCTAGGATTTGCTCACAGGAGAACAGCTGTGAGGCTCAATACGTCAAGCCGAGACGGAAGCCGAGATGGAAGCCGTGCATTTCATTGCAACCTGGTGTGCTTGACCTTTTTGCTATCACCAGGCATGATAACCTGGGCTCCAAGCTAGCTGTGGAAGTTACCCAAGAGCCCAGCCTCATGGCTCCCCGTCCTGCTGCTCTATAAACCAGGGTGCTGAGGAAGATGGCTGGAAGGGCTGCAGGTGTTGTATTTGCTACCTGAGTTGGTTAAACATTCTCCCGCCTCTGTTAAGTAACAGGATCCACCACAGCAGAGCCTTGGCAAACAGGACAAGCTTGCCAGAGTGCAGGGTGCGTGACAAGCGACTATTGCCTCCCTGCCAATCTACTGTGTTAGCTATTGACTGAAAATAAATACCCACCCCAAACCCAGCTGTGCCCTTCTCTTGCTCTCCCCCCCCACCCCCAATCTGTTCTTGGTTTGAACTTCATTACTTCATGCTGGAACTATGCCTCTTTCGATCTGCTGCAACCTCATCAGCATGATGGCATGGAGGTTTCGACCTGCTGCCCTGAGAATGAGATCCCACATCTGATACGCCAATGTGCCGCCCACTTCAGCATGCCACCCTCCCCTGAGAGTGATCCCCAAACCTGGCTCTCAGGTCTACCCTCTGAGACTCACCGTGCCATCCTAAGAACACTTTCCTCGGAGTAGGCCCCGTTGAATAGACCTCAGGAAAATTCTGAGCAGAACTACTTAGGGTTGCTCTCTTAGCCTCCACCTAGATTTGCCATCATAAATAATCTTTAGTCAGCAAAAACCCAATTAAACCTGAGAGGTTTAGAGGCCACTTCATGTGTTAACCGAAATGGAGCTGGATTTTATGTTTTAGGTGCACAAGTGTTTGAGGTCAATATTCAAGCATTATAGGCCCCTGCCACACGGCAGGGGAAAAGCCTCTTAAGGCGCGGCTTTTAAAAGCCGCGCCAACATTGAGATGCCATGGTGGGATCCCACGGATCCCCTGGCCGCGGCGCCTTTTCTCCCCGGCGCGATCAAACGCTGGGAAGAAAACACGGCCCTAACCGGGAGCCGGCCGAACTGCGCATGTCGGAGCATGCGCAGTTCGGCTCCGGGCCGGGGTTGTGCCGGCGCAAAGACACGCCGGCGATCAAACGCCCGGCTAGCAGCGCGGCTTCCAGTTGAACCACCAAGGTAGGTGGTTTCAACTTGAAGCGGATTTGTGTGGGGAAGGGCCAGTTTGGGGACGGAAGCAAGACGCTTCCCAGATGTTGTGGTGTGATTGCGCCGGTTTGATCCGCCCCCGAACTGTCCCGCTCCCGACCCAAATCGCCTAGTGTGAACGGGACCATACTTACTTTAGTCCTAATTCTAGGATTGGGAAGATCTAAGAACAGTGGTAGGCATCTTCTGGTGAGTGAAAGGCATTCTGCACATGTTCAGAGTCACACAGTCTCTTACCAAAGAAAGCTGTAGCAAGGTGGGATGTAATAACTGGGTGGAACCGGACATTCATTTATTTTCCTGCTCCTGCCTCCCTTCCCATGGCCTCACCTGCTCCTGAGGCAAACTTTCCACTGCAAACAGAGGAGGCAACCCAAAAATGATATAAACCACACTCCGATTTACTTCTCACAAGAAAGAAGCAAAAGGACCCACAGAGAAAAGGTTACTGGATACAGCGGATAAGGATTTGGTCAAGAAGGGGTTAACTGATTCAGCTCCAGCCATTTCTCAGCTCCTCCCCCCCCCCCCATTCCTTCCCAGGCAATCAGGGCAGAACTGATATTTACCCTTATATCTCCACAGCCCAAAGGGCTAGACACTTTTTTTAAAAGCCTGAGAATTCAGAGGAGGCATGGTATATTTCCAGGGGGGCATTGCCCCATGCGACCCCCTGTAGTCATGGGCCTAGTCCTAATACAAAAGTTTTCCTGAATACATATTCCTTGGACTATTAGGCATAAATTCTCAGGCATTCAGAAGATCTTTCAATGTCAGCTCTTTTCAATTTCTTTAGAACTTTCAGAAGAATCAAGTAGCAAAGTAAAGCATCTTTCTCAGTTGTACTGTGGACTTTATTTTCTGTGAACCTGAGCACATTTTTCATGCTCATTCTTTTCATTCCTCCACTTGCCACTGCTGGATGACCTTGGGCAAGCCATAGTTCTGTCAGAGCTGTTCTTGGAAGAGCAGTTTCTGTCAGAGCTCTCTCAGCCCCACCTACCTCATAGGGTGTTTGTTGTGGGGAGGGGAAGGGAAAGGAGTTTGTAAGCCACTCTGGGACTCTGAGTGAAGGGCGGGGTATAAATCCCATCTCCTCCTCCTCCTCCCTTTCTTCTTCTTCATATGAAGATATGAAGCTGTTTTACATAAAATCGGGACATTGGTTCATCAAACTCAGTATTATCAATTCTGATTGGCAGCAGCTTTCCAGACTTTCAGGCAGAGATCTTTTCATCACTTCTGCCCAGTCATTTAACTGGAGATGCTAGGGATAGAACCTGGATTCTTCTACCTGAAAATCTGGCACCTCTCCTCTCTCTGTCTCTGCTAAATTGTTATCTCTTGCATGCACAAGCAGTAGTTTAATGGATTGCACAAATATTTCCCAAAACTTCCTCTTAAAGTAGAGATAAGCAACAGGCAACACTTGGGTCAAATCTGTTACTTTGAAGAGTGATTAGCAGATGCAGCTGTGGGTGTGGAAGTCCATTTAAGGTACGCAGGGGTTGGAGTCTTAGCTCATCTCCACCACCACTAGGGTTGCCAAGTGTAAATTCCTCCAGAGTGGGGGACTCCTGTCCGGCGTCATGAGTGTGCGTGCGCTTTGCACACGCTGCACACACGTCGCCCAGAAGTGACATGACGACGCCGGGCACGCTGGGGCAGGACCATGACCATCCGAGGGGAAACCATAGTTTTCCCTCGGATAACCGTGGCCCCGCCCCCAGCGTGCCCGGCGTGGTCGCGTCACTTCCGGGTGATGTGCACGTCGGGGTGGGGTTCCCCCCAGGGCCCGACCCATCGGCGGTGGGGAACGGGCCTCTGGGGCGGGGGTTTCCCCGCCCCCCGGGGGGACTTGGCAAGCCTAACCACCACCCCTAGTCCCAACGAAATGAGTTGCAGATTAAGTTCCTAACCCCCCCTTCAGCCACAGTTAAACAATGTATGAAAAGGTTCTTACAATTTGTGTCTTTTACAGCTACGGTAACTGGAAATATTTTATGTTTGAAGGCATCAGATTAAGAAATTCCTCTTGGTTGTTGGTGTTTGTTTTGCTCGTGTAGTTTGAATAGGAAGGTGCTTGATGCGAGCAAAATGAGTCTCGCAATTTTTCTCATGATCCCTTTTGTTTGGTCCTGTTCACATGTTACAGTGAACGCACATACAATCCATGCACATTGAACACTTGATTTTTTTCTTTATATACGTATTGAGTAATTCTCATGTTACATTCAATATGTGTACAGCTGAATATGTGGTTAAAATCGTACATCAACCCAGGTGCTGGTCCTCCATTTCATCTGAAAAGTGAACTTGCAGTGGTGGTTTCTAGCAAACAAATACACACACACATGCATAGGGTGTACGTGGGTTCACTGTAACATGTGAACAGGGCTTTAAAATTCTGCCTTTGGGGAATCTTGAAACTGTGGCTGTACAGCTCCCATCTCTGTTCAGGGTGTGGGAGAGATTTTCTCTGGCTTTTGATACTACAGTGGAAGCTTTGGCATTTTGACCTCAAACCTTGCCCACAGAAGGGCACCACTCAACACCCATTCCTATGTCATTTGTCCTAGTCTGCTTCCTCAGTTCTCCACCCCAGCATGAACAAAAATGGGCCCTATACTAGTTTCTCTGAATAGACCCCGAAAGGGGGATGGTAACTCTTCAAACTAAAATGCAAATGACTTCATAAAAGAGATTGGGTGGTATATATGGTAACTGTGTGTCTATGTGGTATTTTCTGAATGCTTACTGACAGCAACAGTGAGGTGTTGCATTATTTCCACAGTAATATGTATTTGTATGGGGATTTTCTATTATTACGAAATAGTAGGAGCCAAGCCAGAAGACGTCTATACCGGGCAGTGACGGCGCGTGCAATTAAAAATGAATATATGTTGTCTTCCCTATCCCCTACAAACATTGTTAGCCCCTTGTCTATATTGAGTAACTGTACATCGCTTTGAGCCCACTGGGGAAAGCGATTAATAAATGGAAAGTATTATTATTATTATTATTATACCAAATATCTGTGTAGGGACCTTAGGAAGGATAAAGTGAATAGGAAGTTGTTATTTAGACATAAGCAGCTCAGGTGAAAATTGGTATTTAACTACAAGGTAAAGCCCCGGATATCTTTCCATCATTGTTATTCTCTTTTACCTCACAGGGGTGAAGAAAGGTTTTTGCTTGCAAACTGTGCATTTGGAAACAGGGGATGACTGGACAGTAGGGAAGGAAACAGGCAAAGGGACACCAAGGCAGAGTGAGCCTCCCTTCCTCCACTAGCCAAGAACTACCGTAGGTGCATGGCTTTTTCTGCCCTATTGTAGGTTTCCAGCAAGCCACCACTGAAAGCAGAAGACTTGAGTAAGCTGGACCAAAAACCTGAACTTAGATGAATGTTCGGTATCATGCAGCAGTTCATATAAAAAAAGATTGATGATGACAATTTCCTAACCCAAGTTCATTTGCTCCACTGCCCAATGCATCCAGCCAGCATGAGGCATCTTTCAATGAGGGACTGCTTCCTAATGATGCCAGCTTGGGAGAGAAGAAAAGGGAACCACTGTCATGTCCTAGTGAAACTCTTCTTACTTTATCTCCTAGTAACAAATGTTTTAACACCAAGCACTGCACAGGGATTAAAAACCAACAAAACCAGTGATTTATTGGTTAATTATTAAAAAGCAGGAAGCCTGTACGTTACGTAGGGCTCTCCTGGAGTCACCAACGAGCCGGTACAACATCCCACAAACACTTTGATTCCAAAATAAAGATTTTTTTTCAGCCCAGCTGAATATTAGGAACAACAATCATCGCTATAGACAATGCCCACTGCTTCCTGACACAATCACACAACTTTTGTTATGAAAAAAATAGATATCTATGTACATTATATAAACACACATATATCACATAAATTAGGAGCAAGAGGAGGCTGTTCGTGGGGCACAGTGCCATGCTTCCTGGAGAGTGGGATTTCCCTTGGGGAAGAACCAAGGAAAGGACTTGTGAGCGTTGCCCTCCGAAGCCGTTTCAGATTCACAATGATCTTGGCTTGAGATGTAAAGTCTGGCCAAATAACTTCTCCCACTGCAGCTGGCACAGTCCAGTCACCACGCCAAAGTGGACGTCCACATCCTCAGACTCCAGTGGCAAATCCCAGTTCCCCACGCATAGTCGACTGCAGCATTCACTCCGAGTCAGCAGACCGTTTGATATTCTGTCCTTCGGGACAAAACAATGGCTGAGAACGGCCTGTTCCTTCTGCCTGGGTGAGTTCCGCACAGTGCCTTGGACAGCCAAAGGCACTGTAAAGCCATTCAGAATCAACAGCAGCCAGAATCCAATCGCAACAAAATAATAATGGTTCACAATAACCTACTTGAGCCAAAATATCAGCTGTAATTACCTGCGCTCCGGCTGGGAGCCAGCATGTACACTTTGCCCCATGAAAGGGCTGGAGTCTAACACACACTGCTTGAGAAAGCAGCTTCAGGGCTCAGGGCCCACATCAGTGCATTGTGCTTAGAACGAGTCCTCTGAGCACAAGTGAGCCAAAGCCAAGTCCGTCCGTGTGTGGCTCTTGCAGCTCCCTTTAGCTTCTCTCTTGCACCTCTTCCTCCTTCCACCCGCTGGAGTTCTTCCCAAACTTGTACACAAGCCGCCGGCCATCCACTCGCTCTAGGATCTCCCGCTTGTAGTAATACCTGATGGGAGGAAGGAGAAAGTCAAGGTCTTATCTAAAATAAGTCACAAGGAATTTTGTCTGATGTTTGTTACCAAGGGGTAGACCAATGTAATCCTGGACCAGGGGAAAGCCATCCAAGGTTAGAGAAACATTTTTCTTCTCTCGATTTGTTTTTTTTCTTTTCCCAACTCTATTTATTTGGTTTTTTAACAAGCTTTGCACCTTAACAATCTTCAAAATATTGTATCCAAACAAATATATCTCGCCATACCTCTTCCAAAGAGGTGAGGGTGATGTAGACGGGGTCCCATTTTATTCTCAGAGCCAGGGTGGCACAGTAATTTACAGTGCAGTTCTAGTCTGAGTTACACCCTTCTAAATCCATTGAAGTCATTGGCCTGGAAGGGTGTTGCTCTCCCTAAGACTGTACTGTTAGGAATACAGAGTTCAAATTCCTG